GTGTAAATTATTACCCTTTTGTTTTCTTTTTTAGAGAAAGGAAGTGAAGCATTTGGCCTTCCTCAAGAACAGCAGCCTCTTGGTTTTTGACAGCCACATTCTTATTCCCATCTGTCCTGAATCAGATTGTTTGGCTGGTGTCTTTTTCCCCTCTGTAAGGCCTTCTTAGAAAACATTTAGACATTAAAAAAATTACTGGCAAATAAGAAAACGAAGCATCTAATTTTAACAGGACTTATCTTTTCCTTCTGGACTTCTAGAAATTTTTTTTTTTTTTTTTTTTTTTTAATACTATTCTCACACTGTCCAAACAGAAGCTATCCTGGCCTCTAGAGAGGAGTCAGAGAGCTAGAATTCATGGTGAGACTGGCCTGGAGTCAACAGAGTGAGTACCTATCCTACTGCGACTCTGTCCTCAGAGGCTCTTGAGCTAATCACATAGAAAGGTTCATTAAAATAGCCCTACTCTTCACCAATACTTGATCTGACTGTTCATATGGCACAGGTCAACCATAACTGAGCTGACAACGAGGCCAGCCAATTTCTAACAAAAGCGGGGAGTCAGATTTATGAATCTTTTGTAGGTCAGCATATACTTACTTTCCTGACTCCCTCTGACAGCTCTCATGCAGGGAGGGGCCAGGCCCTCTGGATTGTGGGATGGAGCTACAGCAGGCATTCCCACCCAGAGTTTCCCCCGAGACACGGAGTACTGAGTCCAGAGAGCTTATGGCTATTCAAGTGCAGCTGGGGAAGGGTTCCAGAGATGCCTAGTTCCTGACACTGACATACGCGCCATTATGTTGACATATCCATGCAGCCCTCATGGAGCAGGTGCATGAAGCAATCTTTTTATTTCATCCTACCAACCTTAGCAAGTTAAACTGTAACTATGGAAGCAGCAGGGAATTATATCTGCCTACTATAACCATGGTCATGGGCTTCTAGAGCATCATGTTCTTTCTCAGCCTTAATGGCACGCAGAGAATTTCTTTAGAATAAGTCAAATCTATTGCCAACTCTGATCCCGGACACCAAGGCATAAGGTATTCCTCCTATCCATCCAATGAAGACAACACCCTGGGGTGAACTGAAAACACATGTCCCAACTCTAGAGCCCCAAGGGTCTCTTTCATCCTTTCCATTCATTTATAAATAAAAGGGTGCTAGTTATTATAAACACCACAAGGTTTATGTACCCCAAGAGTTATAAGAATAGTTCTTATTTTTATCAACCAGGAAAAGAAGTCACTACTTTAAAGATTCAACAAACAAGGGAACTCTCCAAACAGGCAATCTTCAGTTTACATTAGAGCCACTTATCTTATTTCAACTCTGCTTTCTTTTTACTCCTTCATGATATTGATCATCAGTTCAGTAAATGCTTTCACTCAGCATAGCCTCCAGCCCAAAAGGAGGATCTAGGGAGAGCCCAGGTTCACCTACTAATAATGAGTTTTAGTAATGTGGCACCTTGGATTTGAATCCCAGCTCTGCCTCTCAATAGCTATGTAATATTGGGCAAGTAACCAGGTCCCTTTGAGCTTTTGTCTTCTTGTCAAAAAATGAGATGATACGTGTAAAGTACTTGGCAACACATCTGGCACATATGAACAGCTAAAAAGTAATTCTGGCATATAACTGATCTCATCACTGTGTCAAGTACACCCTTCAAGTATACCTTCGAACATACTTGAGCATGCCTGCCTTTAAAAATAAGTAAATCTTGGGCGCCTGGGTGGCGCAGTCGGTTGAGCCTCCGACTTCAGCCAGGTCACGATCTCGCGGTCCGGGAGATCGAGCCCCGCATCAGGCTCTGGGCTGACGGCTCAGAGCCTGGAGCCTGTTTCCGATTCTGTGTCTCCCTCTCTCTCTGCCCCTCCCCCGTTCATGCTCTGTCTCTCTCTGTCCCAAAAATAAATAAAGGTTGAAAAAAAAAAATTAAAAAAAAAAAAAAAGTAAATCTAGGGGTGTCTTGGTGGCTCAGCAGGTTAAGTGTCTGACTTCAGTTCAGGTCATGATCTCGTGGTTCACGAGTTCTAGCCCCACATGGAGATCTGTGCTGACAGCTCAGAGCCTGGAGCCTGCTTTAACTCTGTCTCCCTCTCTCTCCGCTCCTCCCCATTCGTGCTCGCGCGCGCTCCCTCTCTCTCTCTCAAAAATAAAAACATTAAAATAGTTTTTTAAATTTTATAATAAATAAATCTATATTCTCAAGCCAAACATGAATGTTTAGAATTATGAATAAGCTCTGCTTTAAGATATCCATTTAAGTACAGTCCCAAATCTTTTCAAAGTCATTTATAATTATTTCATCCACTGCTCCTCAAATGAAAGCACTGCAAATGACTGAACCCTTCTCTCGTTGTCCATCATCCACATCTCCTGACCGCACGTCTCTTACTCATTCTGCCCTCAGCACTTAAACTGTACCTCCACTCTCTTTCCTGTCTATCCTTCCAAATCTATCCTTTGAAAACCCTTTTCCATCAACCCAATCTCTTCTTCCTCTCTGCCCTAACTCTAATCCACAGTCATACACACAAATTACAAAACACACTTTGACTGTTGTTCTCAGTCCATACTTCATCTTGACTGAACTGTTCTCTAATTGCTGTGTACATGTTTCATCTCCCCTACTGTACTGTAAGCTACTAGTTGGAAGGGGTAACTTCATTTATTCAAGTCTCCTACTGAACAACGTACACTGATCTAAACAGTACACAGATGTGTTAATAAATATTTACTGATGACTGTTTATACCACTACCCTTGTTCCTAAGAAGTCTTAAGAGGTGGAGCTGACTCAACTTTAGCCAGAAATGCTTTTATAGAACTTGCCAGATGTTCACCTAAGTGCATTCTGAATAAGATTCTGCTTAAATTAAGAAACAAGGGCGGCTCCAATTTCTCTTTGGCACCTAAGTGCCATATTCTCAATGTATTATAGCCAACAGTCTCCTTGAATATCATCTCCAATGAGAACCTTTTCTCTGAGGTTCTTGCAAATACTACTTCTAAATGATCCTACAGAGTTCATGACAAAAAGAAAAAATACAAAATTAGGTAACATACCATGAATTCATCAACCTCAGGAAATCTCAATAGCGTCACCTAGCCCAGCCCCTCCAAAAAAAAAAAAAAAAAAAAAAAAAAGTAACATGGTAGGACCTCAATTAAGGCTTGTAGGTAATCCATTCTGACCCCCCCAGTCAATCTCTCCCCAGCTCCCACACCCCAGGCCAGGGTAATGATCACAGAATTGGCCAAAAGGCATCAGTCCCTAAAGGGGCTCCCTACAGGAGCTGCAAGCAACTGACAGGTTCACAACTTATGAAGATGAGTGCAGTGCCCTGGCCAAGAACACCAGCCCTCTCCTAAGACCACAGTGACTACTGAGCCAGGCAGCTCACAGTTGGGTGAGGGGGCTTCCATTATATAAAGTACTTGAACAACTGGTGTTGCCTCCTCCAACTCTCATCTTCCTATTAAACTCAATTGCAAGTTCCAGTTCTAACAGGGTAAGCTTCCCTAGGGCTTGGCTCACTTAAGCACCTTGTGCAGTCATACTCTGGATGATTAAATTTAAGGAAGAAAAATCTGGAGAAATAGGAGCTTGGAAGAAAACCTTTTATTATAGTGTTTTGACATGAAGTCTTTCCTCAAATACAGGCAATTTTCTGTCTTGCCAATTAACTTCTCTTACAGCCTGTACAACTACCATGATTCCGCAGAATCTTTTAGAACCATCTAAACAACCAAAAAAATCAATCCTTTGTTACATCACTACTGAATGAAGTCTCTTACTAGACTGTGTGGGGGGAAAAGAATTCACATCTCTAGGTTTCTTTTTAATTTGTCTCTTGATCTGGACCATATATAAAGCATTAGCCAGAAAAGTACCATTCTTACAACAGACAAGCAATTTGTCTCTCAAATAAATATCAATTTTATTTTAAAAACTTGAGGGTAAATGCCAACATGAAGCAAGGGCAGACTTACCAGTTATATGATCATATAGGTGGGATGCTGGGCCTATTACACAGCATTATTAATCAGAGAAGAATGCACAGGAATGCTCATAGGCCCTGCCATACCAAACACCTCCAACAGTGAGCTCTTAGCATCAGGGCTTTATTCAGCCAACCAAAACCAACAACCAAGAACCATCATCACCTTAGCAGAGTGTGGAAGACACGGGTTAATCAGCTAGCATGGAGAGAAACAGACCAAGAAATCAAACACCCAGAAAAGTGTCTCAGAACAATCAGAATATTTAACATCATGGTGAACTTAACAATCAATTCTCTCACTGCCCCACACATAAAAAGTCAAAATATCACTTGGACCACTCTTGGTTGTGGGTGAGGAGGTAGATGGGCCATAATAGACTGAAAATACATCGACAAGAAGACATACAAACGAGGTAAATGAAGAGAAAGCCAACTACAATATTTAGGATAAATAATTGAGTTTGTCTTTTTTCCTTGGAAAAAACAAAAGCCCCACCCAAAACAAAAAACAAACAAAACAACAAAAAACAAAAAAACCCTAAAACCCCCAAAACAACAAAGTAGGAGGAAATTCCAAAGGTATGTTGTTGTTCTAGATTTAGCCTACATTTATACCAGAAGGACGGCTGGTGATATTTTGACTTTCTTTTTTTTTTAATGCTAAAGGTAAAAAAAAGTGTGTTCTTTCAACACCCAAACCAGAGCAGAGAGACAGTAGTAAATTACAAATGTGGATAAAGTAACATCCACAGGACATGAAGATGGGGGGGGGGGGGGAGGGGAGAAGGGGTAGGTTTTTGTATTCTTGCTGTTGGCAGGAAAG